GCACCTTGTCATATGTTATCTTTTATATAAAATATGATAATTCCCAGCGTCGGACTAATGACGTGACACATTCCCAGACGTTTTGACGGCATCGTAGTTAGCATCGTCAGTTTGTCTTGCCAGTCATAGCACCAAGTTATAACTAGTCAAAATACATCTGAATTCTATTTCTTTGACCAACTTTTTGCTGAACGAAAAGGTGTTTAGAAGGAATTCGTGAAATGGTCTTACTCGAAGCCGAGGAATGATTACCATGGAGTGAAGAATTTCTGGTGTGCGAAGAAATCCTCGGTTCACTGACATGCGACCCAGATGAACCTGTGCTAAGCTTTTGTGTGTACTGTGACAGACATTAACAGAAGAATAATCCATACTTTACGGAATAGCTAAAAAATTTATACTAAACCAAGAGAAAAGGCGACTGTCTGCAACCCTGGTCATTTTTTTTACCCATCCGTGCGATCTTAATGAGACGTCCCATGGTTTGGTTGGCTACCTCAAACATTATATGTTTCCAGATGGGTAAAGTAAATTCGTGAACAGAAAATGGACTTGGTGCAGCTATTTCTTTACACGAGCAAATTGGCCTACTATCCTCTAATGTTCATATCATGAGAGGTATGATAGCCCTTATCAGACTTATGGATATTCTAGCCTCCTTAACTTGCTCAGTAGTTCTTCATTCTCTCTCTCTCTCTCCTTAAGCCTATCAAACAGGCATAAATAGTTCATACTCAATTTACTACACTCGTTTCTCCTATTCAGGTTCTTGGTTGTATTTTTAATTTCTACTGACTGCCCCCATATCCTCCTATTTCGCTCTTTCGCTATCACAACTCTAGACTTCTCTAGAGGTATTCCATTTTGACCAAGTTTATGGTGCTTCATCACATCTGTTTGTCTACCCTGCCTCCCTCCCCTTCTCTCTTTTTGTTGGAAACGCTGACCTATACAAATCTCCTACATGGCCCAGAGATCCGTTTCTTATCTTACTAGTTGACAATTTGGATATTGCATCCTTTAATAGCCATCATAGAAACAATCAGCTATCAGATGACTTCAGCTTCGATACGAAGCTTTTAGTCGGGGAATTGACTAAAGACTTATTTTTTTTAAGAGAAGTGCAGCCAAAACGACAATTAGCATCACTCTAGACAGATTTACATTAGTCCACTGATCATTTCCCCATAATATCAAATTTGAAATTTAGTGAGTAAATCCGACTCACTGAGATCCAGCAAAGGGCCAAGCCATCTTGGTCCTCATATACACAAACCTAAATCCTATTCATTACATATTTCGCGCACGACAGTGATTTTATCCTACTGCGTTCGAAACGCTTAATTTTATAGAGTTAATTTTCGGATTCGGTATGCATTATTTCACGTAATTTATCCTCATTTTGAATTTGACGTTATACGGGCAACAGAAGTATATTGGTAAAACAGGAAGAAAAATCATCCTACGAATCAGGGAACACCAAAGACGGCAGAAACAAGGACAATGAAAGATCCGAAATAGCGGAACACATCGCACAGACGGTGGAGATACAATAAAACGCAAGGTCCGAGAAGCCATCGATATCCTGACTAAAATTAATTTTATGAACAGGGGATTCGCAGAAAGCAGGATTAGCGAACACTTTGCATACTGCCTACACAAACTCGGCGAAGATCAGGGAACAGCAATATCAGCAAAGAGAAGACGACTCGACAAATTTAACATTTTTTAGAAGTTGTTTGACCTTGTTTTCGCAACTTAGTCGTATTGGTAGGAAGACTTATAGGAACGCACCTTGTCCTGAGTCCATTTTATGCATAATTATTTCCAAAGTC